AATTGTTATTGCTATGCAATATGCAAAGGTCAAAGAGGAAGGTCAAACAACCAATCTTTGTTATTTTCACAATCTTACAGGTAAATATCCATTATGTGTTTCTAACACATTCAATATCATAATATTTGACATCAATGATGATCTACCCCAGATTAAAGACTTTTTGACCAGGTTTTAGTTTCTTCTCTTCTGTACATGCTTCCTTATATCTTTTTTGAATTAATTAACAACAACATTTTCAACTATTTTTTAACAAATTTACGTAGCTTTCAAACACATCCTTTGCGTGATACAACAAGTCAAAGCATTACCACACTTTCACAAGGAACTCAAGCTTCTGGTAGTAGTCAACTAAGCCCATATGACAAATTTATGTACAAGGTTGTACTAATTCCTCTCAGTGAAATTGTGCAATTTAAATCAGTAAGATCCAATCTAATTATTTTACTCAAATATGCGTCTCTTAACCAACCCATGACAATCATTTTTTTCATGTAATATTGCGTTATAGACTACTCAGTGTGTCACCGTCACTGAAATTAGGAAAATAATAGCTGCTCTGAGAGGTTGGTATTACCAAGCCTGCCATGAGTGTCCAAGGTATTCTAAAGGAGATAAAACCCCTTATATTTGTAGTGTTGATCATAAAACTGAAACTGAAATTTACAAGTATTTTTTCTTTATCAATATCTGAGAATTACTTTCTTTCCACACAAATTTATAATTTGACTTTTACATTAACTTCCATAGATATAAAATTCTTATTTAGGTTGTAAATGATGGATGTCGCTCTACTTTGGTTTTATGGGATCAGGAGTGTACGTAGTTGTTGGAAGTTACTACTGCTCAGATGCACACCACCATGCTTGAGGTCAGTATATATGTTTCGAAACAACTTAATCATGACATAACCATATTAATCCAATATACATTTTCACTATTTCATAAGAACATTTTAATTAGGCTAGAATCATCGATCCTCTTGAATATCCGTTGAAACTTGATTATATTGTTAGGACGAAACTAGATTTTAAAGTCAAATGGCAACCATCTTGGGATAATGCAATATTTATCTATATCTTTCGCAATGAAACTGTTGTCAAACTGATTTTCATCTCATTGGGACAAGATTTGGTATTGTTTCTGTCTAATTATACTTATATGTTTGTAACTTTTAAATTGTTGTTTAACATAACTCAAACTGTGTTCAGAATACTACATCTCAACCTGTTTCGACAACCAAACCTTTTTGTTTTTTTCTCACTTGTAACTACCCTTTTTCACCATTATTGTTTTATTCTCTAACTTTTCACTTTCATACTCTTCAGATAGAAAGTGTTGATAAGGCATTGGCAATTGAGGAGTGGGATGTTATTCAGGTCATAAATATAACCTATTATTTCTAACATTGCAATTGTATATTATTCATGAGTTTTATACAATATAATTTATGTTTAACTTTAGTTTTGCATTCCTTTTCAGGATTACGAAATGACTTCCAAGGTTTCCTCTGAACCCTTGACACCAACCTCTTCTTCCAAAAGGGTTGCCACTCTTGTTTCTGATGAGCTTTCCCAAGCTACTGGCTTATGTGGTGGTGAACAATCCTCCACCAAAGTGAAAAAAATCATCAAATTGGTGAAGTAATCTGAAAGAAAAATGAAATCTTTTTTGTTTGCCTGCAACATTTATATGTATAATGTTTTGTAACTTAATTTAGAATTGGCCTTAATAACAATCAACACTTCAAATTACGGAATGTCGTTTGTGCTATTTCTATATTCATCGTTTTGTAATGGCCGCCACCAACTTTCTAACTCTAATATAGCCATGTTTGGCTAAATATATCTAAGTTGCTATGTCATTTTGTAATTTTACAACTACCACCATTCAGCTGTCTCTCAACTCTGTCCCTTTAAAGTTTTAACATTGTTACATTACCTGAATGTTGAATGACCGTGTTTTCATTATGGATGTTTTAATCCTTATCATTACACTACATCAATTTCATTTTATAAACTTGCATATTTATATCATCTCATGAGTCTTCAGAAACATGAGTCTTCAGCATCTGGACTTAAGTAGAAACTTATATCTTCAGATCTTCTAACTTGTTTCTTTAGAGCATGTTGTCTTTAGAAGCACGAGTCTTCAGCATCTGGATGTAAGTAGAACTTCTGTCTTCAGATCTTCTGACTTGTTTCTTTAGACAAACATCAAAGCCTACACTTCTTCCCCTTTCGAGACAACCATAGTGCAAGGAAAGCTATGTGTTCCATGTCTGATACTTCTTCCCCTCCCACATGATAACGAGCAATGTATTTTGTGAAGCTAGCATAGTTTACATCAAAGTCAATGGTGTTGTCTATTTGTTCAGTCGGATCAAAGATCTCTTCAGTGGGTCGAAGCCCAATTATAGCAGTAATATCGAAAAGAGTAGGAGTGATCATTCCGCAAGGAAGATGAAAAGTATTGTAAGTGGTGTCCCAAAAGTTTAAAGACGCTATTAGCATATGTTGGCAATATATTGGTCCTACTTTCGATAACTGAATTAGGTCGAAAATACTCATGTCTTTCCAGAATTGGGATTTCTTTTGTTTGACTTTGGCCATCCAGTCGAGATATGGTTTACTGTTCTTCGCTTGGCATAATCTAAAAGGCCTAAAATATTTAGTCATATAATCTAAGTGAAAAGGTTCTTCGACCTTTACAGTTTCAAAGGGATTCTTTCCTTGAATAGTTTTTGTAGTTGACCCTTTAAGTTTTTTATCAACATTTTCTCCTACATTTTTGGGAGTGCTAGGTTTGCTAGCTATGGGCCTAGTTGAACGTTAAGTAGGAAAAATCCTTTGTTTTTTTTATAAATCATCAACATTTACCAAATGACTCATGTATGCTAGATTTCTATCAGCAAGGGTAAAAGGAATAATTACCTGGGATGCATAAATCGTGTATTCTTCTATAGAGAGTGTGGGAGTTGGTACAAACTCCTTCTTTTCAACCATGGTGGATTTTGCAATATGACCAACATGAATGGTAGCAGGGCCTTTAGCTTTCTTTGAATCTTGAGCGAATTTGTTGCCTTTCTTGGAGGGTGCCATTCTTGAAGAAGAGTTGGAGTTCATTTGATTAATTTTTAGAAAGAAAAATGGAGAAAATCGCAGGTTCTTGAAGAAGTTTTTGGGAGCAGAAAAATGCTGATTGTAAGAATGAGAAGTATTTATAATGAAGGCAGCAAGAAACATTTCAATTTTTCATTTTTAAATAATGAAAGATATTGGGGCACGTGTCGTGGACTGGTTAGTTAACAATATGGTTATTTTTTGGGAAAGCCACAATTTGTACCTACTTTATTATAACAATGATGAAAGTCTGAAATACGCACGTTTCGATGAGACATTTGGAAAGATGATCATTATGACCATGATGTCACAGCAGTAACAGTCATCATAAGGAGAATTATTGCGTCGAAATTGGGACTTTGCAAAAAATGTCTATTTCTTTAAAAATATTACGAAATAAACATTTTTGGAGGGCAATTTGTTTGTTGTAATTTCGACTATATGCAATTTGAAGGAAATAAGAAGACGTCGAAGGAAGTCCAATATTTTAAAGGGGTGTGAAGATGGTTATTTAAGGTTATTTCGACTAACTGATTGAATAAAGATTTAGCAAAGTCTTATTATTGCGGAATGTATAAAATTCGAGGATATTTCAAATTTCAAATTCAAATAATTCGACAGGTTGTATCATGATGTTTGACACTTTGAATTAAAAGTTGATTTTGAATTTAAATGCTTTGCTCTTATCCAGAAAGTCGCATGGAGGCCTGAGGTTTTGAAAGAGCATGCAACATCGAACATGGCATTTCTATAGTGAAAGACCGTTATGGTCGAAGTAGTATAAACTAGGGTCTTAATGTTAGATTTTAGTGTGTTCACTTTTGTACAAGTTACTCATAAAACTCGAACTACCAGTGTTTAGAGAAAAGAGTATTTGAGAATGTACATATGAATCACCATATTTTACTTAATTTCCAGTTTATATTTACTAGAATCTCTTTCATTCCTTTTGCTTTTAAGGCGAAGTCTTTTTACTTTCCTATAATCACTTTACATAGAATTTTTGTCCTTTACACTTTAACCATAACCTTCTAAAAGATGAGTATTCGAAAGATATAAACTAACGAAACACAACACATGTCCTAGGATCAATCTAGTCGATCCTATAAGTTACCAAAACTTTTAAAATCTGGAAGACTAGCGACTGTTTACCAATTTTCACGGTAAACACATACATGTTAGAGGAATGATACAAAATCCTCCTCCTAAAACAATGTAACCCAATGGTAAAAAAAGACTAAAAGAAGAAGATGGAGATGTAGAGATGATCAAACAAAATGTAAAATGTAACCAAGGATCATCTATCATCAATTCCAACCATTCAAACTCAGAATGCATTGGAATAAACTTTTTATAGTTCGAAACAATGCAAGAACATTAGTATATCTTGATGCACGAGTATTAGACATATTAATTTATATGAATGACTTTAAATGTAGATTACACGGTGTATCATCTTGGTACGTCGAGGTGAACCTCAATGATATGGTGACATTGTGCCTCACATATAAACTTGCATTTTAAGTTAAAGATTTTTAAATGAATCATAAAATATTTGTTTACTTAAATATATATTGATCGTGCATGACGAGAACAAATGCGTTAAACAAAGACTATCTTTATAACAAAACTGGTTGGTTTTTACATTTACTTTGATCTCAAAGCAAGCAACGCAAATGCGTCAGCAAGATGAGAACCGGTTCAAGAGTGAGTGTGAAAACAGATTCGTTGAACATGGGGCACACCCAATTTGTATCTATTTATACGACATCGCAATTTCACATAATAACTCAACCCAATAACAAAAATACTTCTCCATTTCACCGCATATCTAGCATTAGCTCCAAATATATAATTTCAAATCTAGAATTTGATTTCATGAGTATTTTCATCTCCTCTATGATGGCAGTGATCGGCACTCGCGGAAAAAACGAGATAATAAACGCGGTTCCGGTGCCGGAGTCGGAGCTGAAGAAGAGAAACGAAGAGCTCGAGAAGGAGTTGAAGGAAAGCAAAGAGAGAGAAGAGCAAATGAGACGGCAGTTAAAGATCACATGGGAGAGGCTGCGCGTGGCGGAGGATGCCGAAGAGAGGCTCTGCTCACAGCTTGGAGAGCTTGAAGCAGAATCCGTCTATCATGCGCGTGATTACCACGGTCGCATAGTTTCTCTGATGGATCAGCTCTCAAACGCGCAGAGCCTCCTCCACAAGGCACTTCCTTCATCTTCTACCTCCTCGTGATTCATCTGTTGCTTTCTGAAAATTTTGTTTATTTTTTATGATTGAAGATTGATGATCCATATTAGCATGGATCCAATCTTGTTCTGTTGTAACAATTTTTTATTTGATTTGTTAATTTGATAGTAATACTAAGTTTGATTGAATGGATTGGTTTTGGAATTTCTTAACATTATTTTGGTTTCTTCATTGGGTTAATTATTTTCTGGCTATTCTAGAACTTTAACTGCGTATTTTTTCAAACGTGATAATAGTCAACTTGACTATTTCATGAGTATGAATATGAATTATATTTTCAATTTTTCAAACGTGATAATAGTCAAGTTGATCATAAGCAGGAATTATATTTTCAAACGTGCAAGTTAGACTTTAAAATTGAAAAATCGACGTGACAAGTTCAAAAGTAAAACACGCAAATGTACTCGGAAATCAAAAGAAATATACATAAAAAACTAGCTATCAATTTTTTAAAAAGAATTTACGTAAAAATTTAGATCAAAATCAAATACACCAAGTTTCATTAATTCATTTTACACTTTACTTAGTATTTGAAAAGCTCACGCATTTTAATCATTCGCCCAACTAAAAGATTTGTTGCGTTCATTTTCTAATATCTAATGCAATTTGATAAAATGTATGACATTTGGGATATTACTCTCTTCATTCCAAAATAATTATTACATTTAATATATAAATTTGTTTTCAAATATTTATAATTTTATATTATCAATATAATTTTAATTTAATTTTCTAAGTGTATTATCTAATAAATTCTTTTAATTTATTATTTTTTCAACTAATATTAATGCTAATTTGAATAAATTAATAATTAATTAAGATAATTTGATAAAATTATTATTCTGTTTTATTTATTTATTACTGTTTATTAACCTGTATAAAATAATTAAATACAACAAATAATATGAAATAGAGAAAATAATATATTTTATATTAGAGTATAGATTGTGTTTTAAAATACATTTTCAGATGTTCAAATATAGTAATATTTATTAGATTTAATGAAGATACCCAACACATATATATATATATATCATGAATCTATCATATTATACAATTAATTAAATATTTTTAATTTGATGAAATATATAATCATCATTATAGATAGTATAAAACTTTTTTTATAATATCAGTGCATCACTCTTTTTGTTTACGTTATTAATTATAATTTGTTTTGAATTTAATCATTCAAACTGTACTAGTTAATAAAATTTAAAATAATGGTTAATTAAATTCTTGTCGACTAATGATTTTATATATGACCTGTCTCCACTAAATTGATGAGAATGTCTTCACATATCGTGTTGCTTGTGAGTCAAAGAATTATGGGAGTTTCAATTTTAGATTTTGATTTGGTCAGATTTCATTTTTTATTAGTGAAATTTCTATGCGTTCGTATAGATATCAGTGTGATACACACAATTGTATTTTTAAAATATAATTAAAATATTTATAAAAAACAAAATTAATTTATAAAAATAGATTATCATTTAAAAAAAACATATTCAAAAAAATATTGTTTTATCATAATAGTTTTGCATCAATAACATATCAATTTTTCATGTATGATTTTAAAAAAAATCTATATATTAAAAAATAACAAAATAAAAATGAAAAATAAAAAAATAATAAAAAAAATGAATTAGATAAAAGATCAAATTACCTAATAAAAATAATTTATTATTTTAAAAATGAGATAATAAATTGCTTTTAATATTTTATTCCGTATATAAATATATTTTAATCAACAATATAATTATTTTAAAATATAAGAAAATAAAATAAAATTGTTTTACTAACAAAATTTATTATTTGTAAAAGAAATGTCCAAAAAATGTAATAATCAGTACGTTCGCACTAAATTTAGAATAGTTATCAGTGCGTTTACACAGTACTGATGTATTACTTATGGGTTTGTGCGGATATTGCTGTGATACGCACGCTTTTGTTTTCAAAAAATAATAAAAATGTAAATAAGAAAATAATTTTTTTTACCAAAGTAGTTTATTAGTTTAAAAGAAAGACATATTTTAAAAAAATAAAATTATATCAATTTATAAATTTAAAAAAAAAAAGACATCAATAATATATATTTCAATTATTCATATATTATCTTAAAAATTATTATATTTTAAATTAAAAATTTTAATTTAAAAATATTAAATACATAAATAATTAAAAACAACACATTTTCCTCGTGTATGAAATCATAAATTATTTTAAATATATCTACTTTTATTTTATTGAATAGTATAAAAAATATAATAATCCTTGCATTCACACAAATTTTGGTCTGGTTGCCCGTGTGTTCACACGATGCTGGTGTATTACCCGTGTGTTCACACGAATTTTGCTCTGGTTATCTATGTGTTCACTCGATACTAGTGTGTTACTCGTCGGTTCACATGGGTATTAGTGGGGTACGCACAATTTTGTTTTTAAAATGTAATAAAAATATTAAAAAGCAAAACAAATTTATTTTACCAAACTAGTTTATTACTTTTAAAAGAAAAACATATTTTTAAAATAAAAACAAAATTGTATCAATTTTCCACCCGAAGACATCAAGACGAGGTAAATTTGGTTTTCTACCTTTCAAAAGTTTAAATAGAGTTTTGTCAAAGATAGGAAGAATAAGTATCATATTTAAGACATAATAAGCTGTGATAATAACATCGGCTCAAAAGTATTTTGGTAGACCATAATCATTGAGCATTGTCCTTGCCAAGTCCGCTAAAACACGATTTTTACGCTCCACAACACCATTTTGTTGTGGAATTCTAGGAGTTGAAAAAGTTATGTTCAATGTCAAATTTATCACAATATTCTTCAAAGAGGTGATTTTCAAATTCACATCCATGATCACTTCGAATGCAAACAATTTTTGAGTTTAATTTATTTTGACATAACTTGGCAAAACGTGTGAAAGCTGAGAACGCTTCATCTTTGCTACGTAAGAAAAATGTCCAACAAAATCTTGAGTAATCTTCTATAATTACAAGACAATGTAATTACCACATATGCTTTTAGTCTGTGATGGACCAAATAAATCCATGCGAAGGAGCTCAAGTGGTCTTGCTGTTGAAACAATATTTTTTATTTTAAAAGAGACCCTTGTTTGCTTACCTTTTTGACATGCATCACATAGATGGTCTTTTGAAACAATTACTTTTGGTAGACCGATTACTAAATCTTTTGTAGCAATTTTATTAAGTAGATCAAAGTTGACATGAGCCAAACGTCTATGCCATAACCATGAGTTTTTACTCAAGGTAACGAGAAATTGAGCATTATTCAAGGAAATCTCTCTTAATTCGAACATATAAATATTACTTACCCTCATGCCTCTAAACGTATAATCATTCTTTTCATTGTGTTCAATTATACAATAATCTTTGGCAAAAGTTACTTTGTATCCATTATGACATGATTGACTAATACTAATAAGGCTATGTCTAAGACCTTCAACTAGCATAATATTTGAGATAGTAATAGTTGAGGGATTACCTATACTACCTTTTCCTAGTAACACGCCTTTTTTGTGATCATCGTAGGATACAAACCCTTTCTTCTTTGCCACAAAGTCGGAGAAGAGAGATATGTCTCCCGTCATGTGTCTTGAACATCCACTATCGATAATCTACTTTCCCGTCATAGCGTCAAGACACTCATCCTACCAAAATCAAACGAAGATGGTAGGTAGCCAATTCTCATTGGGTCCTTGAGAGTGAGTTAAATAAATTTTGCTTTTGTGCAACCATTGGAATTGCCTTTAGGAACCAAAAAGCACCTAAATTTGCACTTTTCAATAGTATGTCCCTTTTTGCAACAATAGTGACAAAATAATCTATGATGAGAATCACCTATGCTATTAGACTTTTCCTTAATCAATTTGTAGTTCTTATGAGACTTTTCAAATTTTGAGTATCTAATAGCAATTGTGTTAGTAGGATGATGTATTTTGTCTAATTTGGTTTCAAGATCACTCACTTCTTATTGCCAAACTTGACATGTTTCACACTCAAATTTACAAGACTGTTCATCCTCCTTTCCACAATTTTGGACTACTTACAATGAGTTTCTTTAATACTTCAAATTTTTCATTTGTTTCTTCAATCTTGGCCTCCAAATATGTAAAAAAAAATTCTTGGGAGGCCAACTTTTTGTTAGCATATAAGTCTCTTTTTGTAAATTTTCAAATTGATTCTTCAACTCGTTAAAAGACAAATTTGCAACATTTAAGTATTTAGAATGACTTACATCATTTTTCTTTCCTTGACGATAATTTGCCATGAAAAAATAATTTGCATCTTCATCACTCTCACTTTAGCTTTAATTACTTGAGACATCACCATAATTATTCCAAACAACATATGCTTGTCTAGGATTTCTAGAATTGTTTCATTGACCCTTTCCTTTCTTTTTAGCAAGTGAAGGACAATTCGGTCTATAATGACCCAATTTTCCACATTCATAGCAAATATCTTTTGACTTATCCTTTTTATTATCTTCATCTTTGGAGGAAGAGGATTGTCTTCTAAATTTTACAAGATTATTATCAGAGTATTTGACACCATTCTTCTGAATATATCGATTGTATCTCTTTACAAATAATCCTATCTCTTCATCATCCGAATTCTCTTCATTACTCGAGTCACTATAATTTGTGAGCTCTTCCCTTGATGACTTTGAGCTTGAAGCCTTTAGAGCTTTAGACTTCAATACTTCCTCCTTAATGACCCATTTTTCTTTCTTCTTTTTCTCAAGCTTCTTTTCATGTTTGTCTAAGCAATTGATTTCTTGCTCGTGCTCTTCTAACTTACCAAACAATGCGGTGAGATCAAGTGTTGCAAGATTTTTAGTGTTGTACCCAAAAATTTGCCCTCTCATTTTATCAAGATTTCTCATCACAAGACTCTTTGAACTCAGGATCAAGCTAGGGTTTGCTCTGCTCAAGACATCTCCTTGCACCATTGACCTAAATT